GAACTTGGCTTGTATATTCCGATGATGGGCTTCCTCAAATGACCGAGGTCTTCATGAGCAAGCAAGTTGGATGCACACCCACTTAGTTTTCAGTTTGAGCTTCCATACACTTATAGCTCTTAGTGCATCTGTTGCATGGCAATCCCTACTCCTTTTGACATCAATTGATGGTGCATCTCCATAGCCCGATGATTACCCGCGTCCATGTGAGACTTCTATCTTCCTTTTTTGTCTTCCCCATATTAATCCCTACCATTGCATTCTATTCCACCCATAGTGCTATATCCATGGCTTGCGCTCGTGTATTGCGTGGGGGTTGAAAAAGCTTAAGTGTGTTACAAAGTATGAAGCAATTGCTTGGCTGACACCGGGGTTGTACATGATTTATATTTTGTGTTAAGAAGATGGAGCATTACAAGGCTATATGATTTTGTAGGGATAGCGCTCCTTAGCATTTTTATTTTGAAAGGCATGATTGTTTGTTGGTATGCCTGAGTATTGATGTCTTTATGTCAAATTATAGACTATTGCTTGAATCATTTAGATCTAAATATGCATACAATAAAAGAAAGATTACATGATGAACATGTTAGGTAGCATTCCACATCAAAAATTCTGTTTTTACCATTTACCTACTCGAGGACGAGTAGGAATTAAGCTTGGCGATGCCTGATAGGTCTCCAATGTCCCCAATGTATTTATACTTTTTGATTGTTTCATCCTATTATAGTATCAATTGGATGTTTTATATGCAATTATATGCTATTTTATATTATTTTCTAGAACTAACCTATTAACCCAGTATCTTTGATCTTCAATATAATGTTCTCCTTGATCTTCTTGGAGTTCTATTTGATGTAATCTTATTTTGCGGTGTGTTTGCTAGGATCCGATGAATTTTGGGTTTATGATCAGATTATTCATGAATATTAATTGAGTCTTCTTTGAACTTTATTATGCATTATTGTTATAGCTTTGTATTTCTCTTCGATCTATTGGTTTGGTTTGGCCAACTAGAGTGATTTATCTTGCAATAGAAGAGGTGCTTTGTGATGGGTTCAATCTTGCGGTGCTATATGTCCCAGTGACAGAAACGGACAATGCACATATTTGTATTGTTTCCATTAAGGGTAAAGCGATGGGGTTTATTCATATTGATTGGGTTTACTTTGTCTACATCATGTCATCTTGCTTAAAACGCTACTCTGTTTTATACTTAATACTCTAGATGCATGTTGGATAGCGTTTGACGTGTGGAGTAATAGTAGTAGATCCAGTCAGGAGTCCTTTACTTGTCTCGGACATGATGCCTACATACATGATCCTTTCCTTGAATATCGTCATAACTATGCGCTTTTCTATCAATTGCCCAATAGTACTTTGTTCACCCACCGTATGTTATGTGCTTGAGAGGGAAGCCTCTAGTGAAAACTATGGCCCCGGGTCTACTTTTATCATATATAAAAACACAAAAACACCTTGGTGCAATTTTATTTATTTTACTTTGTTTTGCAATTTATCACCTACCACTACGAGATTTAATCCTTGCAAGTAACCACTGAGGGGATTGACAACCCCCTTGTTTGCGTTGGGTGCAAGTATTTGCTTTTGTATGTGTAGGTGCTGCTAACGAGGATCTGTGTGGTTCTCCTACTGGATTGATAATCTTGGTTCTTAACTGGGGGAAATACTTATCTCTACTGTACTGCTTTATCCTCTCCTCTTCGAGGAAATCCCAACGTAGCTCACAAGTACATCTGCTTGTTGGGCTTTTCTGTGTCTCTTGGCCTCTTTCTTCTCCTGCAGATCTTGTCCAACCTCCTCCTCTTCGTCCTCTTCCTCCAGTCCTCCTCCTCTTGCTCATCTTCATCCTCTTCTTCACCTCTCATACAGTTCCTCCTCCTCTGTCTCATACTTTTCCTCAACATATGTGCCCCCTTCAAAATGCAGTAGTGGATCATCCCTCTGTCTTTTCATCTCCTCAAGCCTAGCAAGGATATCACCATATTCTATCAAATTATCATCTTCACTGTCCTCTTCATTGTCCATAACTCTAGCTTTCCTTTTCAAAGAAGTGCCCTTCTCTTTTTGTTTCTTATTCTTCCTAAACATTTCAATTTCCTTTATGATTATCTCCTCCATAATTTCTATTTGAGCTTGCTCCTCCGAATTTTTTGTTACATAATCTTCTTCCACTTCTACATCACCTAAAGCAGGCTCCGGGGCTCATTATCTTTGTGCTCTGTTGCATTTGAAACTGTATTAGCATTGGCTCATGTTCTGCTGCTGCATCTGAATTTTCTGCTGCTACATCTATATGTCGTGCATTGAACAAGACTCCATCATCTGTCTGATACAGTTGGGGCTCTCCAATTTGTTCTAGAGGGATCTGCTTCTCAATAACATTTGGCACTGTTGTCTATATCTGCAGGTTTGGAAGAACTGGCCCTAACAACTATCATATTCAATATCTTCTACTTCTGCATGACCATGTGGGCTAGAATTTCCTCCAGCTTGTCATCACCATCTATTTCTTCCATTCCTTCTATCCCTAGGCCAAGATCCCTGACATAGTACATGTAATCTCTCAAACCATATTCTTCTGTCTCTATTAGTGCTACTAGGTTGTAAAATGTGATGTCTGCCAACATCATAGTTCTCTCAAGATTGTCTTTCATGAAATTGCATTTTTAATTCCCAAACCTCATCATCCAGACTGCAAATAATAAAAACAACATAACAATGTAATATAAGTGCTTAACTAAAACTGTATAAAACAAATGAAACATATCATAGCAATGCAATACAAAGCTTTGCTTAATTAAAAAGGAACAACAAAACAATAGAGAATGCAGAGCTTTGCTTAATTAAAAAGCAGTGCAATACAAAGCAACACAACATAAATGCTTGAGTACAACTAACCCTACCATTCAACAACATCTAATTTGACACACAATACACTAACCCTAACATTCAACAGCAACTAATTTGACACACTACACCTAACCCTAGGGGTTAAACAAAACCTAATTTGAACTAAATCACACACAACCAGTATACAAATTGAACAATATGCACATCATAGCATTGAACAACACCTAATTTATTCACTATAACAGTAACACTAGCTGACTATAACAACGGTAACCCTAACCCTAGTCAAAGCAGTAGAGAAAGGAGACGGGGAAGGGGGAAGGGGGAAGAAATATCATTAGACGCCGTCGAAGGGTGACTTCCCGTCGGATTGGCCTTCACCGCCGCGGTAAACGCTCCCGCCCCGTGTATTCGACCGAATACTGCGACAACGTTGTCTCCGTGGCTTGCTAGGGTTCGAGCTCCCGCAAAGCCCGCCTGGCTCGGGATCCACGTCCCCTGTGCCACCACCGGGCTGGCTGCCGCCTGGTTTTGCCGGAGTCGCCATCTCTGGAGTGGACTGAGAGGGGGGAGAGAGCGGGAAGCAGGAAGGGAAAAACGGTGAAGCGGCACAGACGAGAGGAAAAATGAACTTGGTGCGAATGGCGTCGTCTAACGCTGTCTAATGGTGGTCGGGACGGCTCGTTTGGCCACATAGGCAAAAAAAGGCCCATTTGTCATAAACTCATTTAACAGAACGAGATCTGTCGAAGTGATTTTTGCAAATAGATTACACAAGACGTGACGCGGTGTTTTCTGAAAAAAATAGAGTAGTGTTTTCTGCTTTTTTTTTTTTGAGAAACAGTAGTGTTTTCTGCAATTTACTTCGGCCTCTCCCGTGCGACTGCTGCTACAGCCTGCAGCCCAGCTCCCCGTTCCCCCGCAGTCCCGTCTGCTGGCTGCTCCGCGAGACCGCGACCGCGCCGTTCCCCCTCGGTCTCGGCGGTGCTCCCCGGCCTCGGCCGCCGTGCTGCTGCCGTCGATCCCTGCCTCCGCTGCGCCGCCGAGGCCGAGGAACGCCGACTCGCGCAGCTGCTCTGCGCCCCACTGCTTCTCGCCAACGCGGCGACGTGCCGCAGCCAGGCTGCTGCTTCGCTTCGCCCCGGGTAAATTCTTGGACCAGGTAATTTCTAAATTGGTGCATCGAAATTATAGTGAACAGAAAGAGAAGACGCGTCTAAATTGGGGCACTGAAGTTAAAATGAATTGAGATAGAAGATGCGTATGTACTGAACTGAACTCAAGTTGATGCATTTCCTTTTATCGTTTTCAAACCTATAGGTCTCTCAAAGGAGTTTTACCTCGTCGTAGTGGAGGCTTTCATATTTGTATCAATGATTAATTATTTCACTTGATGTTTATGCCTTTTCTTATGAAATTATATTTTTGATGTCTTGAAGGTGTTGTCTTCCTTCCTTTCACTGGTGGGAGGCATAGATGAATCAAACCACTGATTTGGTACTCTTTCGTATCTCCCAACTATTATCTGTAGTTTTTGTCATGGTTTTATCTATTTTTGTTGGATCATTAAGCATTGAGTTTAAATTCTACATTCATTGTGCAATCTAGCCATATTTTCTATGCCTTGGCATGATCTATTTTTTTGGGGTAGCTATCAGTGCTAGTTTTTGGCCCGGAGCCTGCTCCCCCCCCCCTTCTCTCTGTTTAACCGATAATAGTAAGATTCCTATTCTTATTTAACAATGGCTCGATTTAAATCCTACTTTCATGATAGTTTTATTTCTACTTAAATACTAATAAAATTGGGTTTGTGTGCATAGGTTGAGCCCTAGTTACTAGTGGAACCAATTTCAAATTAAATGCCACTGAATACATGTACTTACTAATTTTTCCAAATGGAAGTGGATCTGCTTATATGGAAAATGCAGGGACTGCTGAGCCTTTTGTTTGTATCAGAGATTTATTTTTTCTTGCATTTTGCAATGTCTAATGAGCATGCTTTGATCAGGAATATTGTTGTCCTGTCTGAAAGTTATCTTACGGAGAAGGTGCCTATTAAGTTGAGTTTCTGCATTTTCTTCAAGTGACCCTATTGTTACCTTAAGAATTACAGTGGGTGCTCCAATATGTCTATGCACCCTATGTCGCTCTCCTTACAACCCTTCACTGCAAATTCAATAAACAAATATTCTTTAAGGTATTTCTTTGCTGATGGTTCTTATTAATTTATCGGCCTCCATTGAATTTTTGTCATTTCCTATCTCTTGTGTTGCATTCATTTTTAACTCCATTTCTTGTTTATTGGCTTTAGGAGCACTAGTACGAATTATGACCGTGGTTTTATAAAGTTGTTGCCAATTGGAAGAAGTAGTGGACATTGGGCCACAAATTTCAGACCAAATTCTGTGTCTAGGCCTGAAACTTCTGTAGGACATGATTGTGTAGTGGGAGAGAATGATGGTGTGATCATAGTTGATCACGGGTCACGTCGACAAGAATCTAATCTCATGCTACGTAATGGACTGATTATTTTTTGTGAGTTCTTTGGTGTTTATATTGACGCCTACCTTATATTAGTCTCGCTTGAAAATTGCAGATGATTTTGTTAGCATGTTCAAGGCCAGGACTTGCTACAATATTGTTGAGCCTGCTCACATGGTATGTTTTGATTGTTGCTTTTTCTGAAATTGTATTTGTTCAATGAGGAGGTGCAAATTATGAATTTATTAAGCTTTGCTTGAAGCTTGTAGCTCTCTTGAAATTTCCTTATTAGCAAAGTGAAAGTTGTTGGCATCATTAGATTTCCATTATTTTGTGAAGGAAAGACTATTGACAATTATATCAACTCGCAATCTGGGGTTCAAGTTACCATAGTATTTCTAGGTCTAAATTCTTTGTCCATAATTGAGCATGTTTAGGATGCAGACTGAGTAAAGTATTTTAGTCATCACTTCAAATTTGTCAAATTAAATTCATATGGAGTTGATACTATTTTTTAAGCTACTGCACTGCACCCTGTACTGGTCAACTCACAAGGTCACACATTTAGAACTCTAACATGATTTTATGCAGTAGTGATATGTCCAAAGAGTTCCTGTGTATCTATTTATGAAGGTTTGCACACACTGTTGCACTTCTTTTACCCATAGGCTGCATGACAATACACATGTAGCTGTAGTATATGTGTCCTTTTCACTTATATTGAAAGCTTTCTACTTCAGTTAAAAGTTTATAGTAAACCCAGCGTTTGGTGTCGTTCCATGTTGCTAGCTTCTACTCCCTCCATTCCAAATTAATTGAAACTTCTTTAAGTTTGTCCTAATTCAAACTTCTTTAAGTTTGACCAAGTCTATCAAAAAATATTTAAGATCTACGACATCAAAAATATATGACGAATACATTTTCTGAAGAATCTAATGAAACTAATTTAGTCTTGTAGGTGTTGATATATTTTTATATAAACTTTGTCAAACCTATAAAAGTTGACATAGGACAAAGCTAGAACTTCATCTAATTTGGAAAGCAGGGAGTATTTCACTTCTTGCAATGGCCTTATCTTAGATTGAGAAATACGACGTCGTAACCAATTTCCATGCATGAAGAAATAGCTCGGGATATGGAGAAATCATTTCGTTTTTCAAGACCATGAAGAAGAGCTGCATGTATAAATTAGAGAAAAGAGTTTTATAATGCCTAGAAGGTATGACCGCCAGCAGAAATACAACAGGGAAAAAGAAACCCCCAAAAGTGATACAACAACTACAACACAGAAGCGGGCAAAAACCTGTAGCTAGTGACCCCCAAAAACGACCCTAATTGTGTATGTCTTCCTTGATATTTCACTTTGCACCAACTGTGATCCACGATCTGTATTTGATCTGATGTCGTCCTAGACCTGCTGTAAAGCTGTGATACTCCTGTTCGAAGACTCTTCCATTCCTTCTCTTCAACGTATTTCTGGCGATCAGCTTTACCAGGCTATCAAATCTGCTTCTTCTGTCATGTTTGCAGCCTGCCTCTGGATGCTATTCACCATTCTTCAAAATGAGCTCCAACTGTTGGCTGAAGTATCATACCATTGCAGTACCCTGGTCCAAATCATGTTGAAGATGCCGCACCCGATGAGTAAATGGCCCAGGTCTCAGCTCGTAGTCTGACAGAACACAAGGGTCTCGTTGTGCTGTAACCCATGGTTCACAAGGGGGTCTGGAGTCCAGCATCTCTTTCAGATAGGAATCCACATAAATATATTGCAACTAAGGGGTGCCCAGGCTTTCCGGATGACTCAGGCATACTGAGACTCGATGGTGACCAAAAAAAGGCTTTATAGACAGTTCTGGATGTGTATTTTCCAGATGAATCCCGTCTCCACGACCAGTTACTGATACTTGAAGATTAATGTCAACCATTGAGTACCCCTAGCACATTCAGAACTGGCATAAACTTGGCAATGGAGATTAGGGCCTTGATATTGTTGATCCACCTACCAAGGGTCAAAGCCCCAGCCACTGTTCCTTTCTGCTGGATCGATAAAGGGAGAACAAAGAGAAGGTCTGATGTGATCTCAGCAACTGAAAAACAGTTGATCCAGGGTTCCTGCCAAAACCGCATGAAATTACCATCCCCAATTTCTCAATTAGGACATTGGTTGCAGCGAGTAAGATAGCAACATCTGCACCAGCAACTAGAGGAAGGATTCTCCATGACCTTGTCATGTCAGTGCGCTGTAGCGATTAACCAGGCACTGATGGTCTTTGGCAGTGTCCGCGCCCTTTTTGCAAGAAACTTCTTTCACAACTTCTTGGTCTTGATAATCTTTTCACTTAATAAATCAATTTCATAGACAAACCAATAGAAATGAGATCTTTTTCGCTTCTTTAAAAATAGTTTTTTGTTTTGAACAAATATATTTAGGACCAGACAAACAATGTACTTTCATAGCCGAGCCGATATAAATGACATCTCTTTCCATTTCATTAATATCATTTTTTCTAGTTTGAACAAAAACATGTAGGACATGACAAATAATGTGACTCTGAGTTAGTATAAAGATGTAGCATTCTTACAAATGCCTGTCGGACATGAAGTGAAACATATGCTGTGCGCAAGCATTCCGGTTTTCTTGTAGCTATTCTCTATTAGGAGTGTCCATGCACATTTAGTTAGCTTGCACATTGGGGTTTAGTTCAGTCAAAATATAAGCATCTGTTTCTTTGGATCTCTTGTTATAAATTAATCACGCATTTTCAGTTGACCATCAGGAGGGCAGTTTAGATTAATCACCGACACTAACTTCATTAAAATGCAGTACAATTGCCCTTCATGCAGGCCTCCATTACAGACTATACCTGTATGCTTTTGTTAATGAGTGGTAATTTACCAACGTATAGCCACTGACCTGTATGCTTTTTCTTGAGGTTTCTCGGAAAGGTGTATTACTATTACCAAAATCTCTTTGATATTTGTTTCATCATTCTCCAATTGCTATTTATTTGTTATATTAAATTAATGGGCTGGAGGCTTCTTTCTTTCGAACTCAAAGCTGGAGGCTTTTGTGCTAACGAATCATATCACTGTTGGTTCTTATCTGGAGATATTTTTTCACTTTGAGATGCATGAAGTTGCTAAACTTTTGCTTTGACAAATTGAAGGAGCTGGCTGAGCCTACTATTAAGGAAGCATTTGGAAAATGTGTGCTGCAGGGAGCATCTCGGGTTATTGTCACTCCATATTTCCTTTCCCCTGGACGACACTGGAAGCAAGTATGTTGTTGATTTTTTTCAGGATTGGTAGTTCTAAAATGCTTATTACGGAAGATGTTAGAGGTGTCTATGTTCGGTTCTGTTCTATTGCTTATATCGCATCAGTAAGACATGAGTTGTCATGCAATTTGGCACTGTTCTTTCTCAGGATATTCCTTCTTTAGCATCAGAAGCCTCTAAAGAGCACTCGAGGGTACCCTACATCATCACGGCTCCTCTTGGATTACATGAGCTTATGGTGGTATGTGCTAATTAATTCTCCTCTGGATTGTGCAAGATTATTTGTGTCACACTCAATTATGCATTTAGTAGTCCATCCTTACGAGAGTTGTCGTTAATAGAAAAGCAAACTAGATGCCTAAAGAGGAATGTGATACTTTTTATAAGTGTAGATCTAAAGGAACAGGCACTCCTCTAATGATGCGCTGCATTTTTTCGGCAAGGAATGTTGAACTTTTCTGTTGAAAAGGGACTGTAGATTTTTGTTTGTTATTAACATTGAGTTCAGACTCAGTGAATGCTTGTTCTAGAAAGAAGTCAGTGAATTGATATCAACTAAAAACAGGAATTGTTTGCGAGTTCTTCTGTCAATATGGGAAAGTTGCTTTGCAGGATATTATGAATGATCGCATCAAATACTGCCTGAGGCACGCTGCAGGTGGAGTCGAAGCATGTGCGGTATGTGCCGGGACTGGAAAGTGCCGCTTTTACTCTTGATGGGAAAGACAACGGAGGCTACTTTGCTCAGCAGTCCTATATCGATAATTTTGGAAATTGTATACACCAACCTTGTTTCTCGCAAATGAGCGGCTCAAATGCCTGAGACCCCAAGTTTGATTTTGTGCAAGTTAAACCCTGTTCCATGCCATGTTACAGAACCTATTGTTGTTAACAAGTTTTATCGATGGATGTCAACGGTTTGTTCAGTTTGTAGATATAGAATGTGTAAATTTGTCAGGTAAGATGTGAATGAAACATTAACCGAAGTGAAGGACATCCGGAGATTTTTGAGAAATTCTAGACCCTTTGCCCCGATGCAGCTAGAGCTTCTCGATCCATTGTATGATCACTCAACTCCGCTGCCGTATGATTTCCATTTAGTCGTGTCAACTACTCCCTCCGTTCCGATTTACTCGTCGTGGTTTTAGTTCAAATTTGAACTAAAACCACGACGAGTAATCGGAACGGAGGGAGTATAAGATGCTATTTACGAGTCCTTTATTTTTCTTGAATTTATCTTTGCAGCTGGACTTCCTCAAAGATTTTTACCATTTAACAAATCATGTAATTGCTTCGATATGGTATAGCAGTATGCCTATTGATGGGAAAGAGGGAAAGACCCTCGGCCTCTGCATAGTGATGCACACAGCCATCCGTCACTACAAATGAGTTGCATGTTCTCCTTGATGGGATTAAAAGGACCAAGACGGCAAGATTTTGCTAATTGCTATTCCCTCGTCCATAATATTTTGGGCGATGCTAGGCGCCGGCGCACCGGCCGAAAGCTTCGGCCGGTCCAACCATAGCCATCAGATCGGCCCGTCCCGATCCGTCAGATCTTTATCCAATCAGATCGTCCTCTTCTTCTCGTAAGCGCGGACGGGAAAAGGAACCCCGTCTCGCTGGCCGCACGCGTTTTCCCCCGTCGCCGCCCCCTCGCCTGCCCTCCTCGATCGCCGCCCTCGCCGCCCGTCTTCGCCGGCCGCCCTGGTCGTCGGTCCCAGCCCTCGGCTGCCGTTCTCGTCACCGGCTTCGTCCATGCAAAAAGCCCACCCATGCGGTTGTAGCTTCCGTGGCTAACCGTTGTAGCTCCGATGGCGACGACCGGAGCTCACCAGCGTGCTCACCGGTGTGCTCGCCGGCGCTCATCCCCCGCTTGCAACAAAAAAATCGAGCTCCCAGGGAGATGCCCAGTGCTGCAACCTACGGCAAAAAAAGCTACAACTAGCAATAGGAGAAGCTTCAACGGGCTACGAAAAAAGCTTCAACCAGTATACCACTGGAGCTATGGATGACCAAGAAAAGTTACAACTGGTGACAGAAAAAGCTTCATCTAGCGATGAAAAAAGCTTCATCCGACTATAAAAAAAGTTTCAACTGTGGAAACAAAGCCATGGACCAAAAACGAAAAAGTTGCAACCGGCAGTTATAAAAGTTACAACCGCATTGAAAAAAGCTTCAAACTTCTTATCTCAGCTGCGACCCCCGCGATGACGATGACGCCGTTTTGCTGCAACCGTAGTAGATTTTTGCTACCACCGGTGATTGAATTTGCTACAACCAGTTCCAGCAAAAATTCACCGTGGGGTGTAGTCTGCCATGGCTGGTTGCAGCTCCGGCGTGGCCGGGTCCGGCGAGGTAGGCAGAGCTCCGATGCATGCGAGGGAGGCGTCGCCGTGGTAGCACCCCGTAGCCCCGGTTGCAGCATCTCCCGTTGTCACCGCCCCTCGGTCGCCGGTGAGATGGGATGGGCACCGCGCAGAGCCATGGC